CCATTCTGTGATTCTGTGATTCTATAATTTTAAGAAGGAGAGGTGTTAAAGCTCCTCACGCATCCAGAAAGCCCCACCACACCACAGAGGTGTTAAATCTCCTCACAAAAGCACCCAGCCCACCACAGAGGCATTAAATCTCACGAAAGCCCCCGGAACACAGTAACACAGCCCAGAGGTACACAGTTTTGTGTTTTTATTTAAATCCAGTTACAGCACAATACAGGCTGGCAGGACCGAGAGGTAACACTTGCTCTGTGTGCCCAGCAGCTGACGTCTCGCTTCCTCATGCCTCCGCCGGCTCCATCCCGGGAAGCCGACACCACTTGCCGAGCGGAGGGTGGCCGAGGGGAGCCCGCCCCGAAGTCCTGCCCCAAACCCAAAACCTGACCACGCGCTCTACATTTACAAACAGTTCCCCGAAATGAAGCTACTCCCCCCTCCCCTTAGGTAGGAATTGAAGAAGAAAGGACAAATTACATTTGTCTCCCTTTAGAGGGTGACTTCATTATTTTCAATGGCGTGACGGTCTCTGGCATCCTCAGCACTCTCCAGCGTCTGGTTGCTGTTGTCATCGGGGATCTCAGCTGAAACATGGACCTGGCTCTCCCTGCTTTCCACGCTCTGGCGACTGTCCACTCTGACACCAGCTTTGCTGTCATCATCTCCTTCCACCTCACGGCTGTCCAGTTTCTGCCGGCTGTCATTTTCCACGCTGCGGTCACGCAGCTTGCTGTCCAACTCGCTGCTGTCCTGCCCGTGGCTCTTGTCAGCCCATTCCCCGCTCAGAGTGTGCTTCCCCAGGGAGCGGCGGGCAACAGCAGCCTCCCGGGAGATGGCTTGCTGGCTGTCCACATCCAGGGTGCTCTCGTCCTCCTCGGTGGCATCGTACACAATGAGCTGTGATACAGAGCAGAACAAGAAGGAGCCACTGTCACTGCTGAGGAACTGATCTGTCACCAGGTATTGCTGTACTGCGCCAACGCAAGCTGCGTGGGCCATGGAGACACTCAAAGCCTGCATGATACAGCTCTGCTTGGAGAAACCGTGGTCTTCTCACAGAGTTACATGAACATTTCACATTATGAGAAACTCAAGTTTGATCCTGGCCTCCACTCTGCTCTCGTGAGACCCCACCTGGAGTACTGCGTCCAACTCGGGCCCCGCCAACGCAAGAATGACGTTGAGCTGTTGGAGCGGGGCCAGAGGACCAAGATGGTCTGAGGGCTGGAGCAGCTCCCGTGTGAGGACAGGCTGAGAGAGTTGGGGGTGTGCAGCCTGGAGAAGAGAAGGCTCCAGGGAGACCTTATAGTGGCCTTCCAGTACCTTTCAGAGGCCTACAGGAAAGCTGGGGAGGGACTTTTTACAAGGGCATGCAGTGACAAGATGAGGGGTAATGGATTTAAACTGGAAGAGGGCAGATTGAGATGAGATATTAGGAAGAAATGTTTTCCTGTGTGGGTGGTGAGGCAGTGGCCCAGGTTGCCCAGAGAAGCTGTGGATGCCCCATCCCTGGAGGGGTTCAAGGCCAGGCTGGATGAGGCTTTGAGCAACCTGGGCTGGTGGGAGGTTGGAACTAGATGATCTTTGAGATCCCTTCCAACCCAAACCATTCTAAGATTCTATGATTTCATTTGTGCAAGTACGTCAGGATAGTGCAACCTGCCGTATCGTATAGCTTGCAGCAGCAGGCTACACTCCAGCCCTGCACATTGACAGCCCGCACTGATTTGGGGTACCCAGAGAAAGGAAATGCATTCCTTCACTCACGCTTGCTTTCCCCCGACAGACCATTTTCTCAGCTAGCTCCCATAAAATAACATGTCTATTTTCAAGTTTGCTACCCTTTTCCAAATACCGGGGTACCGCTGCTCAGTGCTATTTACCTTTTTTGCAGCTTTGCGGAGGTTGCTAGCCTTCACGACTGCGGCTTTTGCCCTTACTCTGTAGGCCACGCTGTCGCCTCTGCCGGCATTGTCTCCCCGGGTGAAAGGGAAAGGAGGGAAGGGTGCAGTTACTGGAATGTCAGTGGGAAAACTGGTGACCTCCTCATCAGATTCATCTGTGTCATTGGAATCATTATTATCATCGTCATCATCCACATCTTCATGGCTCTTGCTTGACACATCAGGAAATTGCTGGAAAACATTTATTATCCATCAGGCAAATGAACATCTACAAGACGTGCAGCCTGCTGCCTGTCCTGCCCACCCAGGGCTTATGCGCTGTTGAGGATCTAGATGCACAAATTGCTCTGAATTCACCTCACCCTGCCTGAAGCTTTATTTTATTTAGAGAGAGTTGCTATCACAAGAATGACTTTAGATTGAAGAAAATGAGTGCTGCTGCACACTGGCTGCCCTGCAGCACTCAACTGACACTTTGCTGTTTAAAACACTTACCGGTTGTACCGGGACATCCACGCTTTCTTCTGAAGAGTAAAGAGTCTGAAAAGAACAACAAACTCACTATTAGCACACCAGGGCATATACAATACAGCTGGTCAGCATGCTGACCATTCTTTAAGCATTTAATCCTAACTTGCAAATCTTGGCACTGAACGATGCTCTTCTTTCTCTTCCAATTAGCTGCACATACCTGCTGAGGTGACGGCAGGTCATTCTGTGCGTGCTGCAGACGCTCCCAAGACTGAGAATTCACGTGGTGGTGGTGATGTCTGTGTGAGTGATGGCCCCTGGGGTCCTTCAAAAGAAAAAAAGAAAAAAAAAAAGAAAAAAAAAAAAAGGAAAAAAAAGGCAATTTTAATCCACAAAGGAGCATACAGGATGTAAGCTGCCTGCATCACACCCTGTGTTTCTGTCCATTCTCAGGTTCTTCTCCCAAGAGTGATTTATGTCCCACTTCACAAAGACTCTAAGCTAAATGCAGTAGCTGATTCTCAGAGTCAAAAACTGATTTTACAAGGACAGTAGCTGGTGACGGAGTATAAATCAAATAGCTATATACAAAACTACTACCATTCACTCACACCACTCAAAAAATTCATAGGAAGTGGATTAAAGTGCTCCCCCAACACCAAATATTGTCATCTGATCCACTAATGAATGTGGGTTATAGTAGCTGTGCCATGCTACAGTCCTTTTCTCTTTTTAACTAACAGCTTACACATTTTTCATTAAGAAAAAAGGTTTCCAGTGCTGGTCTAGGGATACAAGTATAATGAGAATCCACAACCAGGTACCAGGACACCTCACATGGCAAAAGTCTGCTGAATTCAGTGGTGCTCTGCTTTGGCTGCCTGAGAAACTGGCTCATAACAGCCAGGTGGGGGGACATGTCTGCAAGCAGCTACAATCATCAACCAAGTATCAGACAATGTGTATTAGAGAAAAAAAACATCAAAAAGGATCTAGTAAAGAAAATTAATAGCAAGGAGCTTACGTATTTTTCTTCGGAGCTGGCAGAAATGGCATGCTGCTTGGATTTACTCACCTTGAAGGGAGAAAAGAGCAAAAGCATTTGTCAGTATTAATTTCTTGCCAATGTGCAAAGGAATTGTATGGAAGTGATTGCTAATACACATTTGTGATTTACTCACTGGCCATGCAGCAGCGATGCTGACAAGGCATAAACACAGAACTGCCACCTTCATCGTGATGGTTTACCTGGAAAAGATTTTGGAACAGTGAGTCAACAAGGTAAAATACCACCAAAAAATGTCATATGCTTTTTCTTTCTCCTGGTCTTCTTCACCGTGCCGAGACCAGCTCTCTGCTAAGGATTCGACCCATGCCAACCTTTTTTCCTCTGTCCTCCATCACCACCCCGCACCCAGCCCATTTTGTAATGACTTAGCAACTCAAAAGCTACAGGAGTTTTAAAACCAGATTTTGATGATGATGAGAAGTGCTGAGAGCAGCCACACTGAGAGGGCAAGCAGCCTCCTTATGTCATCTGCTGACTTGTACTGGCGAAAGGAAAAGCTTTGTGAAAAACAAAGTACTATAAAGATCATCTTAGGTTTATCATCATTCCTTTAACAGCATTTTTGTCACAAGAGACAGCACAAGACAAGCCCAGCTCAGATTCTCTAAGTTATTTTAAAACTAGTTTTCAGGGTCATTAACTGCAGTTTCTGTGGTAAACTCAGTTGATATGTATATAAACTGCTTTTATTGATAGACCTTTATTTCCCCTTGCAGAAGTTTGAACAGAACAACCTGTGTTTCCCAGCAAGTGGAAGTGAAATATCTGCTCACATTGCAGTTTTGGCAGTTTGAGAAACGAGTGATTCCTGACAAAATTAGGAGAGTGCTGAGCTACAGTAAATTGTGGTGCTGACAGACCAATTCCCAAGGAGAAGCAACATCCCTGAGAAATTAAACTGGTTTACCGATGAGCAAGAGACATATAAAACTCTAGTAAATCATAGCAGGAAAGAAAGGCTACTACAGGCGCAGTTAAAAGACAGGACACTCTACTAGAGGTATTGCAACTTCAAGAGTCAGAAAAGGGTGCGTGTCCCATCCATTCAGTGGTGTGCAGCACAAGCTGCAAGCTTGCCAGGCGAAACAGGGCTACTGCCAGACAGTGGTTACACTGGGAGGAAGATTTCTGCATTCAAGTACCAGCTTTGCGTTTCCAGCACTTGCTTCAGTGGCAGAGTTTTCAGTGACCTCCTCCCAGCATCTAGCAGCACACAGATTTTAACCAGTGATTTAGTATCTTGCATTGCTAAAGCAACCTTGCTCCTATAAAAGCAGACCTTTTTCCACAGGGAAACATCAAACATTCCTGTCCAGTGAAGCAGTTTTCAAAGATCTCCTGTTCAACACTTCCTTGGCTAGAGCTGCAGGCAGAATGGCACATGTCAGGTGAAAAAAGCAAGAGCTTACCTTTCTGGTGCTGGAGGAGTCAGCTGCGATGAGAGCCCTCGTAATGATCCCAGCAGCAGCTCCAGCCAGTTAGCTCCCAGTAGCTCTGGCTTTCTCCCCTTGTCCCCCCGACTGCCTGACATCTCCAACCTTGGGGAATTTAAACCCTGTCCCAGGCACGGCCACCAATCCCCGCGTGGCGGAAAAAGATGAGGTCATGAGGCTCCTGGCCACGGTCCTGCCCACGTTCTCCTACACTTCCTCTTTGGCTTTGTGGCTTTTGAAGCAAACAAAAGCTACTCTATGGTTAAAACGTTACTTATGGGCAAGATCATTAACCAGTACGTCTGTTGAATGCACAGCTTTTGGTATCGCGTAGGAGGACTTCAGGGCACGTCTGTCCTCCTTTTGCAAAAAGGCAGAGCCCAGTTTCCCAGAAATCTTTCCTGCCCTGTTCTGTAGGGCGTAGGAATATGTTATGTGTGTAGGAAGGAGACTTAAATGTAAAACTCCCCAAAAAAGGTGTTAACATTTCCACAGAGTTGTAGGGTTGCTCTCCAGGGTATACATGTTGCAACAGGAATCGCAAAGACAGGGCACAGAATATGGCTTTTTGCCTTTTTGGCCTGAATTGGGTACAAAGAAATAATAATATTCGTGTGTTTCAACAGGCATTCTGCATCCAGAAACTTGTTTGGAAAGGTATACAAGAGCCACTGATAGTCTGAAAAGGGTTTGTGCACTACTCTCAGAAATTCTGACTCATTTTCTATTTGGTTTTATCCTCTCTGGGTCTGTTTTTCTAGTTTCATTCACGCTCTCAGGTGCTTCAGTTGAGTCACCTGCTACAGCTGTCTACTGCACCAAACCTGCTCCAGGGACCAGATTCCAGATATTTTTCTAGATGAAAAAAGAAAAAAAGCAGCAACAGCTCCAATATGAGGAGTACCATGACTAGCAAAGGACATCACAGGATGAAATTCTGCTGATGGGTGACAGATCTGTTCTGGCAGTGCCTTGCTTGGGCAGATTCTGCCTCACCCGTGGTGTGCTGTAAGACTCTCAGACCGCCTTCCAGTCCATGTTTCTTTAAAATGACAAGGAGGTGTCATTCAAACACAGGAAAACATTCCAAGTAGCCCTTTTAGAAGGCAGAATATTCATAACTGTTTCAAAGCTGTTATCTTTCTCCTCATTTCTGATACCCAGCTAGTGTTTGATGTGTCAAGCAGCAATGAAACAGACACCCTGTTGTCCCAGCCCGTGTTTCCAGTTATCCTGTGCTTACCAACACTTCTGGGGCGTATTCAGAAACATCACGAGACACATAAATTAGCTCAGCAACTACCCATCACATCATCACATGGACCTGTCTAGTTATATATCAGAGCTGAGATCAGCAACAGGTAGAAGTTTAACTTAATCTGCTTAATAGAGTGTTCGAATATGCTAGGAGTAGAATTCAATAAAAATATAGTATATCATTAATGTATGCATCCACCTGAATGAGGCATATCTTGGCTTTTATTTTTGGAGTTACGTGACCGTTCTTATTTACTAACTCAGGGAAGACTTTTCAAGCAAAAAAGCCTTCAGTATCTAGGATTTCAGCATCATGATCTTCTGCAGATTTAGATGGCTTACGTCCTCTCCCATTGTATCTGCAGCTCAGTTGCTTCTGGAAACCAGTTGACTGGAGCCCTTGAATGCAGATGCAGGACTCGAGCTGTAGGTGAGTGCTATTTAGAAGTTTTGGCTCTTAGCTGATACACCCAGACTATAGTACATCACCATTACTTAGTGACTGGGAGTGCTTCAAAAGGCTGCTGCTGTTGACTCCAGGGAACCCCAAACCAGTGCCGTAGATAGCCGAGTACCTTTGATCCCAAACACCAATACAAGCGAGCAGTGCAACTTGCAGCTCCTGTGACTGGTAAGAAAAAACTACTTCTACCTGACAGAGCGAGAACCTGAGGCACAGAGAAGTCTGGTGAATGTGTGAAGTACTGATGCCTGAGCAACGGGCCTGGAACCAAAGCTGACCTCTAGATGAACCCCTCCAACAGAACAACGTGTAGGAACAGTTATGCTCGTTAGCAAATAGCTGAGTTAAAGTGCAATCACTAATAAAGATCAAATGGCGTGAGACGGTCCCTCCTTCCCATGTCCAGAGACAGGTTGTCGAGGCCGTAGGACCAGCTGTCTGGCCTTGGTTGGACTGATGAGGCCAAAGCCAAACAGATCAAGAAGCTCCCTTGGTCCTCCTTGAGCCCTGGCCAGGTTTGGGGGGGAATCTAATGGAGAACGATGCCGGATGTTCCGCATTTGGAGTGATGTCATCTTGTTTATTCAGCAGTATAAAAAGCTGGACCCTCTTACAGTGACTTTGGAGACCTCACCTACGAGTGGACGCTCTGCGTAGGACCTCCCAGTTGCCGGGACAGGTTCTCCAGATCCTCGCGGCAGCCGGGGCTCCCCAGCGACTGCGGATCTGGATGATGGTGAAGTATGAGGGCAATTGGTGATGTACCTTACTTAATCATTCTGGTTAACCACATATAGTAATACCTGTCTTATTTTATTTGTACTATACTATTTTGTCTTTTATCCTATTGCTTTGCATTATATTACCTTATTCTTTTTTATTCTTACTTATTATTTTATTGTTATTGCTTTAACTACAAGTAAAGACAAGCTCAATCCTTTAAGTTGGTGTCTGTGTCCCCTGCGCTGAACCCCGTCTATCGGCAAAACAATGTGGGACTGGGTAAGTTGCAAACTGCCAACACACAGACTAGGTCACATTTTGAGCCTGCAAAAACCTACTTTCTCTACCAACCCATTCATCAAGAGACACAGAACTGGATCCCATTATACTGAAAAATCCCCTTGAGCTGTGGTCTGGCCAAAACAAGAACCTTCCAGCACATGCAACCTGCATAATGGCATATTGCTGTCTACCAGGCTTTCAGGAAAATACATATTATGTCAGGACTTGTAAACAACCTGTTTCACTAAGTTCAGCAGCAGTTATCAGAGCCATTGGAAACACAGTCTTCCTGCAGTTTGTTGAAAGACCTTCCTGTACAGGTCAATTATCACTGTGGCTTTTCAAGGCAAATGTTTTGCGAGTATCTGGAACATTTCCCTCCCAGCAGAGACACTCTGTGACCCCCAGGGAATTGTTTCTGACAAACAACTGATGTTTCCAGCGTGCTGGGAGATGGCAGCATTTCTGAGGGCCGTTGCCAAAGCTATATGGTTGATTTTGTAAGAGCCAAGGAACAACAGTGATGTTTTGCAGTAATCCAGAAGCAGGACGTGAAGCGACGGTTGTTACTACATGGTTTCATTTTATGCAAGATCAGCCAGTACAGGGCTGTAGTAAATTTAGCGCTTGTCTCATGCCCATCATTATGTGGTTATTCATCCTGTAAATCATTTTGTCTAGCTGACAAATCCTTTGCCTTGGTAGGAGGTGGTGCTTTCTCGTCCTCTCAGAGAAAAGGAACAGGCACGGGCAGAAAGGGGGGAAACTTTCACCGTTTTCACTTCCCACATTAAAATGCCTGATTCTGAAGAAAGCACTTGGCTGGCGGAGGCACAGCAGAAGCAACTTGCTTGAACTGGTACAGGTGGGAGGGTACATGATTCCAGCTTCCACGAGCTGTCAGGGTCTGTGTGCAGCACAACTGCGACAGGCTGTAATTTGTTGCATGTCGGTGAAATTTTCTGCTGGGCTATCCTATCAAACAAAGCTGTTGACCAAAACTTCTTC